TTGTAGTCGTGTTGAGTCTCTTTGTAGTCCTTTCAGTCTCTTTGTAGTCCTTTCAGTCTCTTTGTAGTCCTTTCAGTCTCTTTGTAGTCCTTTCAGTCTCTTGTAGTCGTGTGTGTCCCTTTGTAGTCCTTTGGTGTCTCTTTGTGTCCTTTAGTGTCTCTTTGTAGTCCTTGTGTCTCTTTGTAGTCCTTTGGTGTCTCTTTGTAGTCCTTTAGTGTCTCTTTGTAGTCGTGTTGTGTCTCTTTGTAGTCCTTTGGTGTCTCTTTGTAGTCGTTTTGTGTCTCTTTGTAGTCCTTTAGTGTCTCTTTGTAGTCCTTTAGTGTCTCTTTGTAGTCGTGTTGTGTCCCTTTGTAGTCCTTTAGTGTCTCTTTGTTGTCCTTTAGTGTCTCTTTGTAGTCCTTTAGTGTCTCTTTGTTGTCCTTTAGTGTCTCTTTGTAGTCCTTTAGTGTCTCTTTGTAGTCCTTTAGTGTCTCTTTGTAGTCCTTTAGTGTCTCTTTGTAGTCCTTTGGTGTCTCTTTGTTGTCCTTTAGTGTCTCTTTGTAGTCCTTTAGTGTCTCACACACACTAACACAAACTCACACACAAACTCACACACATTACATGTTACTTGTTAGGCGGTCAGCTCCGGACAGCGCAAAATGCGTACATGAAGACATTTTACTCCATCGTCCTGTGTTTTTATAAATATTGTAACTTTATTTTGTATTTATTGGAACATTTTCTTTCCAATAAATTCATATTCGTATAAATTATTGTATCTTTAATTTGACAATTTTTTTTACATTCATATTTATATTTTATTATTTAAAATTCTACTTCTTATGTTCATATAAATATTTCTATTTAATTTTCTTTATTTTACATTTTATTTGTAAATATTTTGTTTATTTTAAACTACTTTCTCAAACCCAGTAGAGAAAGCATGATGTCATTAGCATGATGTGTTCATATGGTCTAATGATAATCCACACAGTGTTTCCAGTAGCTGAATGTGAACAAGTAAAGAGCTCTTATTAAAAACAGGATAATATAAAAACAACATAAGACACTTTTAAAGTACTTTTAGCTGATAAAACGTCTATATTTCAACTATTTTTTATATTTATTGGAACAAAATATGTTTTTATTTTAAAATGTATTTGTACATTAATTTTATTATTTTAAATTGTACATCTTATGTTCATATACATATGACTGTTTTGTAGTACTTTTAAAGTTAGTACTACCAAAAAAAAAATGTTTAGCTGATAAAACGGGGGGTTACGTATTGTAACCCTAGTTCTATAAGCACAGGCGGAGCCCCCTACTGGACCCTATGGGACTACTCTCATCAATGATACGCAAGCGTTCACACACTGAAGTTGTATAAACGTAGCCGGCCAATCAGGGCGAGCCTACCTGAATGCACGCGCAGGCTCACAGTATATAAGGCAGCTACACCTGCTGACTGTCATCCTACACCCTCTTCAGCGAGCGGCATAGGGAAGACAGGGCCCCTAGGTAGAGGGCTCCGCCTGTGCTTATAGAACTAGGGTTACAATACGTAACCCCCCGTTCTATCTCACACAGGCTCCGCCCTCTACTGGACTCTATGGGTACAGTGGGTGGAGCCCCGATGAATAAACGTCCTGTCGCCCCACACATCGACCCACCACACTGCCCCTGACCGGCCTTTGGTTAACAGCCAACCAATCTCCCTTTTTGTACTTAAAGTCATATTTGAACACTTTTGCACTTTAACTGAAGCAATATTTAAGACTTAATAATGCTACTCATACCAACAGTGCTCTAAAACAATTACAGCTTTATTTTTACATGAATATTACTATTTTGTAGTAGTTTTAATGTACATTTAGCTGTTTAAACGTCTATATTTTTATATTTTTTTATATTTATTGGAACATTTTCTTGAACTTCTTATTTTTATAAATTATTCGACAATTTATTATATAGACCAGAGTACTTTTAAATTACACTTAGCTGATAAAACGTTTGTATTTTGATCAGAAATCGTGCAAAATGAGTCCTTTTTGTACTTAAAGTCACATTTTAAACCTTTTTTCCCTTTACTTAAGTAATATATAGGACTAAATAACTTCGCCCTGAAGCCATTACAGATTGATGGGAATCAGCGAGGACTCACCTTGAGTCGACGGATGGAGGTCCGCAGCAGCTCTGCAAGAAGAGGGCAATGGATCTCAAGATAACGTGCCTTCCTCCCTCAGTCTCTTCTTATGCGGTCTCCCCCCCCCCCCCCCCTGAAGGTCTGATGGATTTCTCAACTCGTCATAAAACCTCCCAAACTGGCTGACATCGGCCACTCTTCAGAGCAATTACCAGAGGGGAATGCAGCAAGAGCAATCTGCAGAAAATAGTTTCTAATGTGACGCACTTGGGACAATAAGGACAGAAAACACCTGAGACACACAGGTGGGACAATAAGGACAGAAAACACCTGAGACACACAGGTGGGACATTAAGGACATAAAACACCTGAGACACACAGGTGGGACATTAAGGACAGAAAACACCTGAGACACACAGGTGGGAGAATAAGGACAGAAAACACCTGAGACACACAGGTGGGACAATAAGGACAGAAAACACCTGAGACACACAGGTAGGACATTAAGGACAGAAAACACCTGAGACACACAGGTGGGACAATAAGGACAGAAAACACCTGAGACACACAGGTGGCACATTGAGGACAGAAAACACCTGAGACACACAGGTGGGACAATAAGGACAGAAAACACCTGAGACACACAGGTGGGACAATAAGGACAGAAAACACATTAGACACACAGGTGGGACATTGAGGACAGAAAACACCTGAGACACACAGGTGGGACATTGAGGACAGAAAACACCTGAGACACACAGGTGGGACAATAAGGTCAGAAAACACCTGAGAAAGAACCCTTTAAACGTATAACAATAACCTAAGAACATTCTATTTTTCTTTTCTGAAAACTTCGAGCAGCGGCTCCTGGACATTAACCTATCACTGGGACAGTTTTTCTTCGTAAATAGACGGAGGATTTCAGCCATATTTCAATATTTTTACGACAACCTCAGTCTTACAGTAGCGTGGCCTAGCAACAGCTAAAGCCTGGTACTGCATGCTATTTAGCTTAAGCTAGTTAGCAGCAAAATGCCTCCATTATCTACAGATGACTTCCACAAACTTCTACAGAAGATGGCCATGTTGGAAATGAAAATGCAACGGTTGGAAATTAACGTGGAAGTGAATGGACTAGGTTGGAATGACACCACTTTACCAGTGTTGCAAAAGAATGGACAAAGGCATGCTAACTCAAAGCTAGTTAGCAGCTACAAGGATTCCAAGGAACAGGAGGGCTGTGTACCGGGTAATAAATCTACAAGTGATAGTCCTCCCTTGAAGTCTGGGTGCAAGACCGAAGAGTAAATCATTTCCATGGGATTTGGGAGGACGAACAACAGGCAGAGCCCATCGCTCTGAAATCTGTGATGCGACCGGCTGGGCTGCATTGTTATCAACCAGGAAGAGCGCCTCTTCAACCCCTGTTCCTACTAGGAAACAGCCGTGGACAGCTGCTAAAGGGAGAACTACAAACAATCCTCCTAAACCACCGAGTGTGCCAATCCAGAACAGATACGATCCACTGACCCAGAGCCGGAGATCTCTTTCTGATGACCTGGATAACCTGTCCTCTTCACACAGCAGGGTAAGGACCAATAGCTACTCCAAAAGTAAAAGGCTAGAGGGAAAGCTAACGACTGGGCCTGAAACTCTGATTGTGGGTGACTCTGCTGTAAGAGATGTAAAAGGTCTGTGTAATAAGAACAACACCAAAGTACTCTGTTTCCCCAAGGATAAGGTCTCTGACTTGGCTGAGAAGATCCTGCATATTGGGGCTGAATATCTGACTGTGAAGAATGTGGTACTGCACATTGGAACAAATGATGTTGTGAAACAACAGTCAGAAGTGCTGAAAGAAGACTTTAAATGTTTGTTGGAAACTGCCAGCTCTCTAAATGCAGAGGTGTTCATCAGTGGCCCTCTACCGCCAGTCAGAAGAGGAGTGGAGAGATTCAGCAGATTGTTTGCACTGAACACCTGGCTTTCAACTGTCTGTACTGACCATTCTGTCCATTTTATTGACAACTTTAACTTTTTCTGGGACCGCAGACATCTTTTTAAGGCAAATGGAGTTTGTCTGAACAAGTCAGGAGTGAAATTGTTTATCTCTAACATATTCAACTGCCTACGTCATCAATCTGTTCCCTCTGCCAAGGACAAGCAACAAGAGGAATCAAAACAAGAGAAAGACACAACACATCGCTAAGAAAACCTTGAAAATCTATCACTGCACCCGCCTGAGGAATGTCTTGATTATGGGAGACAAATGGAGGAGTCTCCACCGCCCTTCACCCCCCTATCACCTCGGAGGATACTCTTCCTTCACCCCACAGCTCTCTCTACTCTCCGTTCACCCTTTCACCCTTGCCCACCCTCCTGGAGATCGCTGAACACACAAAGGAGATACAGAGGGTTTGCACCAATTCAACTAAAGCGATACGCAGGGTTGGCAGCATGTCCTTTACCCCCGCTTCTCAACGACGCCCACCAAAATCACCGCAGAGACGCGCACCATCTCCCCTGTCTCCATCACCGTGCCTACGTCAACCACCTCCCCTCCCTTCAAGAAAGCATCTGCAGTCTCCGAAGCCTGATAAGGATGTGTGTGTACAAAACGCAACAAACTCTTACTGATATGGGCTGGGTCCAGGCTCAAGGGCGTATGGCACTCTCAACTCTTTCAAGGACATGCCAGGGCCCTGCCTGCCTGTAGCTTTGCCGATATCTGTGTTGATAGGTAATAGATTAAGAGCGGTGAATCAGCTTGGAAACAGGAAGCGCTCAAATGTTTGTGTGAGTTTATCAAATGTAGCAGTGATTCCATGTCAGCCACAGCTTGTCACAAAACATCTTACTGATAGTGTATCTAACAAACTTAAACTAGCTTTATTAAATGTCAGGTCTTTGGCAGGAAAAACATTTTTAATCAATGATTTTATCACTGAGCACAATCTCGATTTTATGTTTTTAACGGAAACTTGGATTGAACAAAATAACAGTGCAGCTGTTCTTATCGAATCAACCCCTCCCAACTTTAGTGTTATGAGTCAGGAAAGAATGCAAAAGAAAGGGGATGAAGTTGCTATTCTGTTCAATCCAAGCCTATATCAGCAAAACTAGGGGCTGAATCTAATCAGCCCTAACTATAAGCTTTATCAAAAGGAGGGTCTTAAGCGCACTCTTAAAAAAGGATAGGGTGTCTGCCGCCCGAACACAAACTGGAAGCTGATTCCA